TATAAGCAAGTCAGATAAATACACTCACTCGCCTTTTACAATTCCCCATTAAAACACCAGCCTTGCTAACATCAGCAAGGCAAATAAACTCCCCAAAAAATCAGCTTATTAAAATCAAGCCTGTATAACTTCTATCAATAAAAAGCTCAGTGTCTCAAGGAAACATCTATTTCTCTCCTACACTTCTAATAGAAGACACTAACTTAAGATCATATTACAATAACAAGGGCTTTCTTAGACTTATCCACCCTGTGCAACATAATCATGTAGCTTTCAGAAGAATAGTTGCCATGCTTTTTCCTCCACCAACAAAATTAGTATGTGATCCTATTTAGATACCTAGAAAGCACCAAAGTCCATGCAAGAGATATTCTAGTACTGATTGCTTGTTTAGACAAAATGGAAACTAGTTTCACAGAATTCTAGTAAACATGAGAAGAGTTAAAAAAAGACAAAAATAAGCACAACACAAGGCTCTGGAATAAAAGACTCTAGAATAATACAGAGAGCTCTGTTTCTGCTTCATATGGAGGTGGATGTACTGCACTATGGAGTCACTAGGCTTCCCCTGTGTAGTAAACTCTAAGCATATAACCAAGGATGCATTTCTCCTTGCTTTTTCATACCCAAGTTATAATTCAGATCATACTGAAAAATTACAGTTGTTACTTTTTTATTTCTCTTCAGCAAACTGTCAACTTTGATTTTGTCAGGGTAATGTACTTGTCAGTACTGCAAAGTATTAGAAAACAAAAAAATTTAAGGAAAGCTCCTTCAGAGGTCAAGCACATCCAAGTATTACAATTTCAGAGTGACATTAAAGACATTTAGGAAGGAGATCCTCAAGCCTGCTTTTAGAATCATGGAAAAATGTAGGGAGAACACTCCAAAACCAAAATTCTAGAGCTGAAAGAACCTAATGTATGAAGTACTATGACTACTAAGTGCTAGTAACATGTACAGAGCACCTATGACTGGATGAATAGGTAACGGATGGAACTCTCCTTGTGGTAGAGGCATGAGGTGATGAACTGATTGGTTTTTAACTCTCTCCATGAACATACACAGTGTTGCTAATTTACAGCAACTTGAAAACTCACAGCAAAGTCTTCATTAACACACAATTTACAGGACATAAGAAGTAAATTTAGAGTACTGATGGCTTTTTCAGTTAAGCAGTTACACACAACTTACTCCTGCGTACTAACTCACTCTCTGCTGAGACGTAGGCTTCCATGTAGTTTAGGCTCTCATCTATAAAAAGTTCAGTTGTTTACAGAAGATTGCCCACATTTTTTAATATAACAGTGCCAATGCTTGTCTGTCTTAATCTGCTGGCACTCTGAAATAACAGAGAAATATGAACTGCTAAAATTTGAACTTTCAAACATACAACATTCCTTCACTCAAAAGTTGGAAGAGCAAGGGAGATCCTCCCTTTTGACTCACCAAAGCCAAAATAAACAGCTGCTTTTGATCAGTGTCTAGATAGGTAGATATCTCTGCCCAAACCCCATGGAAAGGCTCCTGTGGAGACTTCTGCAGTTCACAAAGCAGTATGACATTGTTTCTTTAAGAGTGCCATACAGAGAGAACGGGCAAGAAATCATGCCTGCAACACAAAGAGTTCCCATTTTATGACTGTCCTTCTGCAGGTACGCACCAAAGGGCTGTGGACTCACTGAAAGAATGAATGATGAATTTTTTTGTAACTTGTGTTATAAAGGAGATTGAACAGATTATTACAATCAACCAGAGGAAGCTGCAAATTTCACCAAACAAATCTCAACTCTGGCACTCATCTGAAAGCATTTCTGGGAGGTTTTAAGCATTCCAATACCACCCATAAGAACCTTGCACAAAGGCGTTAATACTGATGACAAAGTAGATTTTTCAGGACTCAAGAGTAATTTATTTTGTAACAGCTTTTTCCCAACTCTTTTGCTTACTGCTCCAGCCTGAACTATTTCTCCACAGCAGAAAGAAGGCACAAACAACTCACAAAGACCCATGCCTTTCCAGATCACCACTGAATCCCTCCCGGCATTCGCAACTGACTGTTCTCCTGACTCCTGCAGATCCTCAGTGTGGAAAACACTGCCGTACGACTTAGAAGCTGCCGGTGGCCAAAGGCCTAGCTGTCAGCTCTTCAAAGTCGCACAGAGCAGTAAGGCAGGGACATTCGGAGGGACCCATGTTCACACACAGGCAGCACACCTCTAGCACGTTTTCACCTCGCAGCATTATCCGTGCACACCAACACACAGGAAAAGCTCCGGGAGATGCGCTGCGAGCCCTCCCGAGCCAGGAAGGACTCTCCGCTACCAAGAGCTCCAGTAAGGCGGCAGGACCCCGGCAGACCCTGCGGCGGCTGCAGGCAGCCGGTGCCAGCCGATCCCCAGCCTCCCGGGGAGGAGCAGGAAGCGCAGCCGGCGCGGCTCCCAGCCGCTAGCTCCCGGCCGCTGCCCCCCCGACACACCCCCTTCGGCAGCGGTTCGCAGCTCCCACGGGGGCTGCGGACACCAGGCCGGCTCGCCCAAAGGGGGACACCCCGGCCCGCGCGGCGCCCGGCTCCCTCCTACCGCCGCCGCACAGCGGCTGCTTTCCAGGCCACCCCCCATCCCTCCCACGCGGAGTGGAGCTGCCGGCCCTGCCTGGGCGGCGCGGAGGGGACGGCCCCGTCCCCAGCGGTTACCTTCCCGGTACTTCTTGCGCAGCCGCCGGTGGACGCTCTTCACCACCCCCGACAGCTTCTCCTGCTCCAGCTTCCGCTCCTGCTCCGGGGGCTGCTGCGGCGGCAGGGGAGCAGTGGCGGCGGCGGCAGTCCCGCCGGGCCGCGGCCGTGGCTGTGGAACGGCCTCCATGGTGTAACTGCTGCTCCGCCGCGCGCAGCCCGGCTGAGGGGGAGGCGTGAGCGCCGGGCACTATGGCAAGGGCGGGCATGCGCTTGCTCCGCCCGCTTGGCATGCCGGGAGATGGAGTCCGCTGCCGTCGGGCGGGCCGAGGAGCTGGGCGCCCAGTGGCCTGTAGCTGAGAGTGCGGGGTTTGCCGCACAGCGGGAGTTCAGGGCCTGGGGGCTTGGCGGATTCCAAAACTTTATCAGGTACGGAGCAGGTAGCCCTGGGTGCTTGACGGACTAGTGCAAGAATTAGGTGAAAAAACATGAAGGGTCCAGGGACAATGCGAATTCCTGAAGGGAATATCTGAAGGGGGCCCTCAAGGATGGTGGAGAGAGACTGTTCATCAGTGACTGTAATGATAGGACAAGGGGTAATGGGTTCAAAATTAAACAGGGGAAGTTTAGATTAGAAATAAGGAAGAAGTTCTTTACTGTAAGGGTGGTGAGGCACTGGAATGGGTTGCCCAGGGAGGTTGTGAATGCTCCATCCCTGGCGGTGTTCAGGACCAGGTTGGACAGAGCCTTCAGTGATGTCTCCTGGCATGACAAGGAGTTGGAACTGGATGATCTCAAGGCCCTTGGCAACCCAAACCATCCTGCGATTCTGTGTTTCCAGGGCATGGATGCAGCAGGGGCTCTTCTCTCTTCCCTGCATTACCCCAGCACACATGCTGCCTAGAGATCCCTGTAAAAGTCTGTGTGACTCCCTCTGAAGTGGGGTGGTAAAACCCACCCCACAAAAGACCTTGCAGAAACAAACTGAGTTCAAAGTGAGGTAAAGCAAATCTCGGTAGGCTGGTATCTATGGTGTGAATGCGGGTATCTGAAGAGCACCATTTTGTACGGGCTTTTTTCTGTCTACATGGTGCTGCTAGGCCTGTTCCTGGGCAGAGCACAGTTTTCATGCGGAAATACACTGCTGCAGTAGGGGCAACAACTGCAGCCAGCAAAACTGCCCCTTACAGGGAAAGACCTTTGTCTGCAGCTTCTGCCAGCTGCAATCTTTCTCCAGACCCAAAGTGTTTTAGTTCCCTCTTTCAGCTGTCGTTGGAAGTAGGACAGACAAAACCACTCCTCACAAGATCATGGCAGGGAAATCTGCCATGAGTCGCTTGCTTGTTTGTCTTGGCCAGAAGCAGCTAATTGTCTCCTCTGAAGACATTAGAAAACATTAAGGAGGTAATTGTTGCTACAGTTAAATCGGTGACAAATCTGACTTGGGTAGGGTCAAGATTTCATCCTAATGAGAAGTCAGTGATACATGCAGTGGGTGTATAACAGGTTCTTATCAGCAACCTGTCAGTCCTGCCAAAAAAAATTGCAGCTAATCACAGAGCAGGGTGAAGTTCTCTTCTGATAAATGTCTTTTTGAAGGTACAATTATCCAGACAAAGAAACAATGCCCAAACAAAAGCTTTGCATTGTTACTGACTGCAAAGACATCCCTTTTCCACTTCACTCTGAGCTGTGTGGGCAAATACTGCATCACACCCAATGCCCTGAAAGGGGGTTGCGCATTGTGCCCAAAGGTCCAGCTGTTTCTGTACTGTTATTTTTCAGTAAATGCTTACAAAACTTTACTGTAGTTTGGATCTTCCATCACTGTATTTACATGCCATAATGTATTTTATTGTCAGAATATTTATTTTTTTAAATCAAAATATGGGAGAATACTGGAAAGGAGAATTAAATTTTTTGCTCCCAACGTCAGCACTAAGAAAGGAAAGAGAAGTGTAGTGATTGAGTTATTCTTTCAGGTAGATTTTTCTTTTAATTTTGAAACTGAAAAAAAAATCATGTGTTAACGAAAATAACACCAATATAGATTAATTTGACTTGGAAAACATCTGAAAATCAGCTTCTCATAGGGGTTATTGTATTTTATATTCACCAGATTAGTCCAGGAACTCAAATCCAAATTAGAAAGAAGACTTGATTGCTGGGGTTAATGATAGTTTTCTGAAATATTTCTATTACTAGCTTTATATGCAAGTCCATGTAAGAAGAATTAAGATGGTGTAAAAGAGATTACATTGATACCTACAAGGAACCTTTTGGTTAAGGAGAAACCTACACAGTGGTTGATGTTCCTTCCACTTGGGGAAGCACAGAATGAAGAGAAAAAGCATGAGATAGTCTTCTATGTGCAGTGAGATCCTATAGGAGAGCACTGAGGGGGTCTTCTCAGAAGAGTAGGAGTACCAGTGACAGAAAAGACATAGAGGCATTTGGAGGATGCCTAACAGATACTTCTGTGACATCAAGCCCCCCACTCCCTCAGTTGTGAGCATCCAGACTTGGAAGTGTAGGGCACACAGCCAATATGTGAGTGTATCTGGATGCTGGTAAATTGGAAACCTAATTGTAGAACTGGAAAATCGGGGAAATTGCACATAAGTGAAATGTACTCTCTCAGATTAGTAATAAACTGTTACTCTTTAATTTATGTTCTTTTGATTTCAGTTCTCAGGAGTGCTTGCTAAAACTGACAAAGTGGTTTTAAATACAAAGTGGCTTTAATTTGTCACAATTATTTAAAAACTTACAGTATTAATAGTAAGCATACTTTCCTACTAGGACTTTACAGTTTTTACAAAACTCTCCTTTTTTAATAAAAGTTAATTATGTTGCTTTATATTTTCAGTATGTTGTTTATTTTCTGATATTTTATAAATACGTCTATGAGGGAAAAAATCAGTACTTCAGTGCACAGACTACTTTCATATCTTGGTGTACAAGCTATTATTAAAAAAACAGGAAATAGGGAAGTGTTGACTTTTTAACATAAGTGGTTCTATATGAAAGTAGACCAAGATATACACTTTTCCGTCTTCAAGAAGTGGCTTAGCACTTTAATGCCTCAGTAAGCAAGCAAACAACATTTACCAGATGTCAAGTATGTCCAGGAACAAAAATAAAAGAATACTCGAAGAAGAGGCTTTAGGCTTTCAGGACACACAAATACTTACAACAGAGTACGGGGTGAGAGATGGCTCCTGGAGACAGGCTCCAAATACAAGGTGATTGGAGAAGGCAGTTCCCTGGAGCACTGCATGGAGATTTGGGGGGGTGAAGGAGGAGCTGGTTATGGAACAGGTGATTAAAGCAGGACCGGTTCTGGCAGGCCAGGAACTGATGACCCAGTGCTCTGTTACAGTGGTGAAAACATGTGTGCTCAATACACTTCTTGAACACAGTACAGGAAGAGTGAAGGAACAGATGAAGATGAATATAAATCTTGGGGTTTTCCCTGAGGCGCAAGAGCAGAACAAGCAAGGTTGCATGCACTTACTCTGTGGAGATAAGATAATAAACTGCCTCTGTCCTGATGGAGACGATGGAATATGACCATCTGGGAAAGGATTGTTTTCAGTAGCTGGACTTACTATCTCAAATGTAGAAGATGGACAGATGATCCTCTGTGTATTAGTTACTTTCTCAAAAAAATGAGCCGATTTAGGGTGGACTAGAAAAGTTTCTTTTCACAGTTCTGCAGTGTTTCTGTTCCCGTCACTTTTCATTAATAGCTTTAGAAACAAAAGACTCAATTCACAGGCCAGGAGAAGGAATAACCCCAGCCCTTTCTAGTACTCAGGTGGCTGGAACATTCACTGAGGATGTGGGAAAACCAGTTCACATCCCTGCTCTGCCAGAGAGTATCTGAACCCACATCTTCACTATGAGATTATACAAAGTGGACGTGCTCTTCCTTCCTGAGGGAAGAGTGACAGCAGCCTGTATTTTCAGCCTTTCTCCCCAGGGAAACTGTGGAAGAAAAGTTACAAAAATTTTCTGAGCTACGCAAATCAGCAGTACTCTGCTTCCATCCCTATTTCAGTGGTACTTTGGACAATCAAATCTTTTCATGCTCTTCATCCTTTCTATCTTACAGATGCTGGTTGTTTAGAAAAGGAACCAAAAAAGTGAGACAGCATCAAAGAGAAGAAACCTTTCTAGGCAGCACTCTCTCCAGTGTGATGACATCATCAGAAGAGTTTCTAATGCAATGTAATCTGCAAAAATATTACCAAAAGCATGTAATGATTTTAATGGAATACTGAAACACTGGTAATATAAGTCTTTGTTAGATGCAGAACTGGTTTTGCTACATGTATCTAAAGGGAAGGCAAGCAGGCAACAATAGCATATTTGGTTTGAATTTAAGATTCTTCATTCATTGTGGAGTCATATAAGCCAGAAAAATAATATAATTTGATTTTAAAAGTCGGAGTCACAGCCCTGAATTTGCACTGATGCAGTTATGAAGAGCTGGTCCATTATTACATTTCTTCAGACTATACACACTTTAGTAATTTAGTAATTAAAATTACATAGTAATTAAAATCACTACCCCATAACAATATTTTTATAACTACAGATCGTGGATTCCATACGTGGAGGTTGACACCTCTAAAAGTAAGTTTATATCACCAGTCTCCTTAATTAGCCCCCTGTGTATTTTACTGGGAAAAACAGACTTGATACTGACTTTGGTTTGTGTCCAAAGTCCCAGTACTTACCAAAATAAATATTTTGCTTCTGGAAAACAAGAGGATTCTTCTACTGAAGGACCAATTAAAGTTGCTCCTCAAGTAGGCAGAGTCACCCAACCAGAAGACTGAAGTCCTTCGCATGTGGAGGCTCATTTTGGAGTCTAATTACGTAGCCTCAAGACCACAAAAATTAGATACTCACAGGAGATTTTATTTATTGAAATAATGTCTTTTGCTTGTTAGCTTGTGTTGCAATAAGGTAGGAATAATTTTAACAATAGCCAGCATTTCTGATAAACAATACATTCACTGAATCCATTGTGGCCAGCAGATCCCACCTGTGTCTGTCAATAGAAATGAGCTGGTCCTTTCAACGTGCGGGAAAAGTTAAGAATTTTTTAATCCCTTCAGTGTGTCACTTGCCTAATAGTAAAGTGGGAATTAAATTCCATGGAACTACTGAAATGCTTAGTGAAAACCAGCTGAATACTTTATATGTGACTTATTCCGAATGTTATGTGCATGTATAGAAAGTAAAACTATCCTGAGAACAGATAATGCATTTTTCGAATAAATGCTGTACTTCATTGTAAACTGCTTTGCAACATGAGCATCACAAACATTCTTAATATTCTATCAACGAAGATCATTAAAATACAAACATACAAAAATAATCTTGAATTACCTTAAAAATCTGTTGGGTTTTTTTTCATTGATTTTAGTCTGAGCACATTCCCCTGTTATTTGGCTTGTATAAATTATTAAATAGAGAGAGTCAATATAACGATTACTGTAACAGAGACTACTAGCTACTTTTTCTAGATTGAATTTTTTCTTAGCCGATTTCTTGCTGCCGTAAAAGATTAACTCATAAAATCACTTTGATTTAGCAAGAGATGTCAAAACATCCAGCAGGTCTAACTGGTTTTCTTACAAAGTCAAAGTAGTATGTGGTTTTAGTACTGATCCATGTTTCTGTCAGCTGCTGTGCATAAACCTGCTGAGTAATTAATTCAGACACAGCAACTTTGGGAAAATTCAGTGCTAGTAGGAAAACTTTTAATGTTTGATTATTCATGCATGAGTGGAACCCGATAGCCTTAAAGATGTTCTCAGTTCTTGGGATTCAGATTCCAGTCGTTCTGTGTGGGTCAGGTATGTATAATTCCAGTTCAGCTCAATAGTAATGTAGCTGTACATTAGGTCATTTTCACCTTGAGAAACACTCCAGTATCCTGTAATCTTTTATTGCAAGTATGATAGCCTGACTCATAAACTAAGATGACCTCACAGTCTGATTGGATTTACTGGAGCTGAAAAGCACCCAGAGAAAGGCTAGGCTGCATGAGAATTTCTGAGAAAGACTAAATCTATGGAGAATATTCTGCTGTGATGCCATGGATAGGTGGTGGTATTCTGCGTCATTTCACTGTTCTCATTTTTTAACCCTCCTAGGTCCTGGAAGGGTGTGCGAGAAGATATTTTGGGTATCATTAGATATGACCTGTACATCTCCAGTATGCATAAACTGTTCTCTATTCCACAGATTGCCCAACTCCTTTTAATTTCTCCTGCCTCTTGAATACTGTCATGTGGTTTATTTGGGACCCTACTCTAGGTCAAGTGTGGTTTTCAGTAAAGAAGATGAGAGAACAATAACGAAGTCTGTTCATACAACATCAAATGGAGCTCTATCTTCAGGGCAATATATTGCAGGCAGTATAATGTACTTCAGGAAGAGCAAGAAATGCCAAAGCTCTTACCTACCCTGTACACACTGTATTTGGCTTGTGCACAGTTCATGTTTTAGGTTTGGTTAACTGACCTCAGTGACGCTAATGCCTAAGATATTATCAATAAAATTAAAGGGATTAGTACTCTCTTCATGAGTTGAAGGATTAGGATTTAGGAGCCTAAAGAATGGTGGTAAAACGAAACCACAAATATTAAAGCTGTTTCAGAATTTTTGACAGTAAGTACACAAAGTTTGCCATAGTTTTTCCATATGAGCACCACAGATAAAGATTATCTGCTGTTAGAAGAATGGTTTCTCTTTTCTTCTCTGGAACATCTAATAAAACAACTGTGACACAAATACCATGAAGTGAGCGTTCTCCACACTATATTTTTAGAATTTCATCTCCTGTTACTATGGATTAAGGATGATCTGATAGCAGCTGCCCCAAAGTGTGAACAGGACTACAATCTGCAGAAGCAGAAAGCAGTTCTGAAATGCTTATTTAAAGATAGGTAGAGTTGTGATAGAATTAAATAACTGTTTCAGTTTGTTGAGGATATACTGATAAATTATTACATTCAATAACTAGGAAGTAGAACAGAAAGCTACTGTAGCAGTTAATGGAGACATACGTTTCATACTGATGTTCAGATTTTAGTCTTGAAGTCTTTCAGATTTCTGGCTACTAAAAATTTCTGTAGCCTCTCTGTATATGCAAGAGTGTTCTTGGACATTAACCATCTTGTTAACTCCTCTCTAAAGAAAAAAATTAATAAACACTTTAGACTAATAAGCTTCTGTTATTGAGTGCTATAATTATGGTTGGAATCTTAAGTTTTGTTAATGATTTCTCACACACTGTAAACATTTCAATAATTTAAAATGTATGTGTTTGAGCTACATATAATCATTACAGGTTAAAAAAAATTAAATTGTCAAACATCAAGGAAGTAAATACCTATCTTCAAACACCCTTCCAGTTTTCTGTTGGACATTTCCTGTATGGGGAGCCACAGCAGCACCTCTGCCCCAGGCTGTCATGCAGAGCTTACTCTCTTCTGCAGTGCTTTCTATCCCACAGCACGTCCTGTGTTGCTCTCACCATCTTCATCACCTGAGCCCCGGCAGCAGCAACACTGCACCAGTCCTTCATCCTCCCCCTGCCTCAGCCCCCTCAGATCCCTTCAAGCCTGCATCCTGACTACTCACTGCTGTCTTTCTGCTTTCCTGTAGGATTTCCACAACTCCCATCACTTTGTTGCTTAACACAATTTCATTCTGACTAAAAGCAGCGGATGGCAGTGCCTGTGCTGAAGCCCGGCCTTGCAGCCACACAGAGAAACACAGAGGTGAAACGGCTGCTGTAAACCCATTTGTCCAAAATGGAAGGTGGCATCCATGCTGAGGAAGGAGAAAATACATTGAGGAATAGCTGCCATCTGCCTCATGGCAAGGTTTGAACTGCTGCCGTCAGGAAAGCTGGCAGTGCTGCAATCAAGAATGGCTTATTTATCCAGGAATTATGGGGTGATGTGGAAGTATACATCCAGCAAACCACAGGGAAGACACATATGTGCAGACACACACAAAGTTAGGGTAGCCACCACAAAGCACAAACCTTTGGAGCTTGAGACCTTCTGTGCTTTCTCCCCAGGCAGCCTCAAAACTTTTCTGAGCACAACAGTAATCTCAGTGACATCCTAACAGGAGGAGGAAGAAGCGCCTCCAAGCCACATGGCAACCTGCACCTTCATCTGGCTTTGGCAGAATCCCAGCAGTATCATCTGAATGGTTCCATAATTACAACCACAACACATTTTTCAGCCCCTACAGGTGCTGTCTCTTTTTCATTAATTATATGGGAGGGGAAGAGATGACTGCAAATACTGAATTCTTTAGAGTTGTGGTTGTCAAGCAGCATCTATATCTTTACAGAAAATGTAGTTCTGCTTTTCAAAAGCAGCTAAAATTTTGGTGGGGATCCAGTACTGAAGTGCTCACATTTGCCATTTCAACTCATTCCTTGAAACACATCGCACATAGGTGCTCTTTGTCAGAAAAGTTTTCAAACTGATGCAGACATTCCTTATAAATATAGATGGCTTCATTGCAGAGAAAGAACATTAAGAATGCTTTTATAATGTCTATTTAGGCAGCTTGCTTTTCTGCAGTGGTCACAAAAGAAACAACATCATTTTGGAAGCCATAATGACAACATACTGCAAAATGGGGAAAATTGTAACATAGGAGGTAAGAAGTTTGTAAGAACCAGAGGCAAAGCTTCTTCTTGCAGGAATGTGAAAGGTGGGTTTTGTTGAATGACTCCTTTAAATGCAGGTGAAATGGCTGTCAGCTCCCAGGTCACACGCTCAACACAAACGTAATTTTATGTTATAAAGTTATAATACCGGCCTCTTTTGGAGCCAGACTTAATCGGCAAAATGCAGCATGAGGCTTATCACACAACCTGACAGATACTTGAAGCATTGCTGTCTTGCATGTTCAGAATGGTCTCCTGGAGGCTTTTCTACATAAATAGAACCAACCTGACCAAAAATGTATTTTAAAAATAAGTTTGAAGCCTGCCTTTTCATGAAGTTGGTTTTTTTAATAAACGATACTCAAACCTGTGTGAAAAGGTAGAAAGTATTGAAAGTTTGAAAGTATTTTAGGTTGTACTTCCCTTTGGTAAGGCTACCTCAATTTTTTTACCATTCAGGATGAAGTCTAAGCACGCATAGGTATATAGAAAGTTCTGACTGTCTTTACAGTTATTAGAGAGTTGTCTGTGTGTATAGTTATTTTTACACAATTTGCTATTTCAAAAGAAGTTGCCTGTAAATCCAATTAGGTGGGGCAAACAGAATTCTGTTGGTCTGTGGTGACTCATTTATGAGAGAAACAGCTCAAATTAGATTGTGTGAAAGACATTGTTTTTTGGTATGGACACTGGTTATATTTAAATGATGTTTGACAAGGACTTCTGCTATCACTTGGAATCTCCCCTGTTGCCAGATTCAGCACAATGCATCCTATGAATCCTTGTTGACAATTCTTTCTAGGCTACCTACAGATCTCATTTATTCTGTGGCCTTGATATTGCTTAGGATGCCTAGGATTACTTAGAATGAGGATGCATTCTTGGTTGTGTTTTATGCCTGATGGTTTTCCTTGGTTTTAGTCTGTAATTTTGGCAGCCCAGAAGCTGCTTCATCAACTAGCCTCATAATGGAGGCAGAAACATCTGAACTAGGGGCACACATCCAGCTGTGAACAGCATCTTCTGTAGCCACACCAGTGTAACCTGCTGGAACCAGAGCACTAAGAGAAACAAGATAAATGGCTATTGTACTTTAAATTCACACCTGGGTTGCTTGTTCTGTGACAGCTTCTTCATGCAGATGACAGGAATGGACCCTGGCCAGTTTTCATTTGCTGAAGGAACGTTTTGCTCCTGGGGACTTGAATGGGTCTGCCTCCATTAGCAGTTAAGAGCACAACATAAATGTTTCTGTGATGTGAATTGCTCTTGCCTGTGAATCTTTTACATTTGATGTTCTTTAAGTTACATCACTAAAAGCCTTTGGAAGACAGGACCTAGATTTCGTCCTGTAGAAGCTTAGCTGGAAATTGCACACTAGGGGTTTTTCTAACACACCCCAAAGGTAATGGGAACATGTAATCTTTGGGCTGTTGAGAAAGAATACAGAGGCTGATCTGTTATTTGAATTGTACTCCAGTATCAATTCTTCCTTTATCCTGAGTGAGAGCAATACCAACACAAAGGTGAACTTGGAAAGCTCTTCATGGCTGAGACTTCTGTAGAAGTGCTAGGATGTCCTTTTTTTATCTGAGCAACATGATGAGACTTTTAAAACTGTAAAGAGAGGGACTTTCCAAAATGCCTATGTTGTTGGTATGGTGTAAGAGCCTTCCAAAAGAGTTAGCTAATCCTCAGTGAGTCACGTTTTTAATGGAATTCTGTTTTAAATAAATTATCTTCTACACTTTCTCCACTCTGGGGTATATGCTGAGTGACTATAATACTTGATGTTCTGGTATTTCAAGTTACCAGGTCATCTGTGAATGTTTCTGAGACTCCTCTTCCTATAGAACCTAGCACCTAAATGAAGGTAACAAGCAAATGGCTATAGTCTGAAGTCTTCTTTTGCTGATGGAGATTGCTGAATTCACATGTGCTTGCTGAGTATCAGAGATTACTGTTGTAAGCATCTACCACTTCTGACAGCAGTTGCTTATCAGGTCTAAATTTGACTCTCTTAAATTTAAATTGGCAAGGCTTTGTCCAATATGCTTAGTAACTGATTTGTGATCACTATTACTCTACATGTACTCTTTTTACAATACTTTCACAAACAGTTGGCTTCAGACAGACTGATGTAATCTGTCTTTCCTCTAATGCAAAACCTGTAACGGCCATTGGATTGCATGTTGTCATCTGGTGTGTAAACATGCAAATCTTGATCGATGAATGGACGAAATAGCCGCATAGTTTTGGAACAGGCTTTAATTCTGACTGCATGTGTAGTAGTCATTATGCTCAGAGGAAGCATTTTCTCACGTCGGTCCTCCACTGTTTCTTGTGTGATTTTATAGTTTCACATAAGTAGAAGTCTGACATTTCTTTCTAAACCTAACTTGTAGAGATGAGTCCTTAAATAAGAGCAGAAGAGATTGTAACCAGAAGAGATTTGTAAACTAAGCTTTTGAATAAAGCCAAAACCAAAGAACCAATTTTTTGATCTTATATATAAATTAATTGGCACATTACACAATTTTTACCATTCACGTAACTGTGTTGAATGTGGTTGTGAGTGCCATAGGAGCAACTTGCAAGCCTCAGAATTGTTATCTCGGCCAATGTGCAAGATTCCAAATTCAGGATCATATAGTGGGAAGAATTCCTGATGTGTAGGAAGTAGTCCCTGATTTTGGTTTCGCTGATCCCTGCCATCCTACTGTGGCCCTTCCCTGGCTCCACCACCTCTTATCCTGGCACAGCTTGCCCAGCTCTGTCTAGCATGGAGGTTGCCAGCATTGAAGGGAAGTGCTGTGCTTTAAATTAATGAAATTTTGACACCAGTGCAAGGAAACATGAGGCAAAGACCCATTGAGTGAAGGTCACGCACAACCTAGAAAATCTGACAGGTTGGTGAATAAATTAAGGTTTACAGGTGGATCAGGATTAGGAAAAACTGGGTTCTAAGAATCCTACAGCCCTAGATTAAGTGCTGTTCCCCTGTTCAGTATCATTCTTTGTGATTATTTCCAGGCAAAAAAAATCAGATCATTAATTGTATCTGGTTCAGACTTTGAAGGATTTCTTAACAAACAGCAAGACTATATTTTAAATTATATATTCTCAAAGAAAATAAGATGTTGATGCAAATGCATCCTCTCACAAGCCACAGGTAAATTGGCCTGTAGCATCTCAAGCTAGTGCTCATCAGAATATCACTTTCAAGAAAGGACATTTCTCTAAGAGTAACTGGAGGGAAATTGAGTCCAGTTCCATTACCTTTTGTAACTGAAGAGAACTGAATCATCTGTTTCTTGTCAAGCCACCCACTTTGTGTAGTCACTTGTGAACAGTTTGTATGCTAAGAGAAAAAATGGCACTTTGCATTATATAGGTTGTTAAATCTACTATGTCAGAGGTTTGTTTAAGTCCTCTTGCCACCCGGTTTCAATGTGGAGATGAAAAAAGACTTATCTTCCAGCCATTTTGGCACAGGATAGCCTCTGCTAGAGTGCCACAGAGATCCTGTAATTCACAGGATACCTTCCAAAATTAATCAAGGGACCTAACCTGCACTGCAAGTTTTGAGCCATCCATCTTTGAATAGTTGAGAAAGAAGTTACTGCCTGCCGACAAAACCTTAGGGCAGAGCGAGGTAATAAAGCACTGGTCTGTAAGTCAGGTTTTGATCTTGATACTGTGTGGTTCCTGGCTCACAATTCAGTATTTTAATTGCAAAATAATACTTTGTGATTGATGAGTGCATATGTGGCAACTTTAACCAAGTATTGATTATTTTGAAAAAATGCACATGATTTGTTGTACGTGATGGGGGGTGACCCTAATGAATCACAGAAGAAAAACATAAATTGAAACTTAGATTGGATGTTTGTCTTTCTAGATTTCACAAGATTGATTTTAAGTCTAGAAGCTAAGTGAAGATAATGAAGATATGAGACTGTACTTTCACAAAGGTTGTTTGACTTATACTAGTGAACCTGAACTGTAGTATTTGCAGATTTCCTGTAAGTAAAAAGTGTAAATTTTTACCAAGTAAAAGAACCAAGTACCAGTAAATGGGAAGTGACTGAGTAAATACAGCATTTAGAGACTGAAAACATAACAGATGAATAAAATATTTTTTTCTAAAGCTCTCAATGTGTTTAAAACGACAAGTGATAATATAAGGGTAGTCTGTGATCAGAAAAATAATTTTAAAGTGATATTTAATATGGTCTAAAAATTGAAGTAATAGAAACCAAGAGGAGGAAAGGGCACATACCAGGAACACATTTTAATCCAATCAGCCAGTTAGGTAATCAATTAGACAACACAACAAGAGCAAGCAGATCAATGGTTCTGTCTTCAAATGAAAACAAATGTGCTTACTTACCAACATTTGCATCTTTAAGATAAGCATAACCTCCTTTCATGCCAGCTAAAATTGTTGATGTTGCCTCTTTTTTCACTAAATAATTACTTTTACATTCACTTGTGTTGCCCTTACGTGACCTTGAGCAGAAAGACTTGCTGTCAGAAAGGAGTCACCTGTTGATACCATGCAGCTTTTGTGAGCACATCCCACAGTAGGAGATACGTTCACAGAACTCATTCTCCTTCACCCTGAAGTCACAGATTAAATCTACCATAATTGGAATTAAATAGAATTAATTTATCATGACTGCTTTTCCATAGCTTCTTATCTGTCAGGGACAGTTCCTAATGGATGAGTGCCTTTGTGGCAGCTAGACTACTAATGGCATGTTCAGGTTGTTTTATGAGTGGTGGAAGGAGCCACCACATTCAATAGGACTAGTCCACTACAGTCACAGGAGATCCTGTGGTATGGGTGTACTTCACAAGCATCCACAAATCATTCCACTTTGCGTGCAACTGTGAGCTTGCTGCACTTTGAACTGAACCGAACTAGACTTGAAGTAGGAGGTCAGAAAGCATAATGCAGGAGAAGACTTCTTAAGAAGGACTGTTTCAGTGTGGAATAAAAGTACCTCTTGTAGTATTAAAGGACTTTTTTCTTTAAAATAAAGGAGGAAGACCTCAGGAAAGAGGGAAATGCAGTGCTACTTCCTGATCCATTTCCAGAATGAGGCCAAGAAAGCTCTATTCCCAGAGTTTGAACTGAAACTTCTAGCAACCCTACATTTAATATTAACAGTAACTTTGCTGCTTGTACTGGTAAATTCAACAGGAAGACTTCCAGTCATAAAGCCTTTGCTATGTGGATATGGTTCTTTTTAGCCTTGAGCTGTGTGAAGCAGCGTCCTGGGCTTAAAATGCAACAAGCAGGCATAAAATGCTCTTGTTCTGCCTTGTGTACAAGTAAGCAGTAACACATTATATACAGTAAAGGCAAGAAAAAAACAGGTTTGTCATTCTCAAGTTTGAGAAATCTTGGGAATGCTTCTGAAATCATACTTCTTGTGAAACAACTTGTTGCAAGAAGTATAACTGATATGATTGATGGTTATGGTGATACTGGCTGCAATAAATTAACCCCCTCAGGGGTTCATTTACCCCAGGGAAGAAAACCAGCTGGAGCCACAGCTGCACTGGCAGCAGATGTCACAGCCATAATGCTCATTGCCTTTAGGTGTAAGATATATGGGAAAAAACTCTTTACATGGAAAAGCAAGACACTAGTATAAGGCTGGCTGAGCTATGGAGACTGATGGCTAGTATCCATAGCTGAAGGTCAGGTGAAACACAGTTCAACTTTCTGGGTTTAATGTAATAGTAGGCTTAGCTGATATGCAAATCTATTGGTTCTGCAAAACACAAGTGAAAATTTAAAACCAAATCTTTATTGCAAGACTTTGTTTTCCTATTATTGTGAAAGAACATGAATAAGCTTCTCTGAATATGTAAGCACTGTGAAAATGCATGGTACTCTAAGTCAAACATGTCTTCAGTGCCTCATTGTTTGCATTCAATTACAGTTTATAGTAACTGGACAAAAAAAAGTTAATTGCAAAATCATCTTCAAATTCTCTTCCCTGCTCCCCACATGAAAAAGCTGCCTTTGTTTAATCTTCAGGTTTGGTTTGCAACTTAGAAGTCACAAGGAAAACCAGAGTTTTCAGTGGGGCACTTTGCTGATAGGGGAATGCAAGAATATGCATTGTAATTTTTCTGGCTGGCAGTAGGCAAGTGTAAAGGTTAATGGGATCCAGAGGCACTCTGAATTCTGGGAAGGCTGGTGAGAGACTCAGCTTACTGCAATTCACAGCAGCTGTGGGATGTGAGAGAGCTGGTATTTTCTCAACCTGCTTTCTTGTCACTTGGGTTTTAGCTGCTTTGCAAAGGCCAAGTTCCAGTGATTGCTGTCCTCACCTATCCTTGGCATTATGTCTTACTGACAAAACTGTTAGAAAGAAGCCAAGCTGCTGTGTTCTGCCTGCAGTTGCATGGTCCAGGTCAGGGCTCAGAAGAGAAATTCACTTGGCACTCAAAGGAGCAGTATGTGGAGTTCATTACTTGCTATGAGTCACCCACCCAAGCTGCCACAGAGAAGATCTTTTGTATTTTCTGCCTGCTCCTGGCTCTTGTTGCTGTTGTGAGACAGGAAAAACAAAGCATCCTTTGACTCTGTTTTTATTTTAAGATGTATTTTCTCCTCTTCCCTTATTCAGTATTGGACATCTAAAAAGCACTGAGATACAACTGACTTCCCTGCTGCTTTCACAAACAAAATTCCCAGAAGAGTTTGGAAGAAACCTGTGGACATCATTTACCCCATCTCTTACTTCAAACAGAACTTGTCCTGGAGCTGAATCAGATTAGCCATGGTTCTGTCTAGCTGAGTCTGGATGAAGGTCTGTCAGCCTCTGTCAGCATGTGCAGTGTAACATGACTAGAAACAGAAGCCTTATAGTCAAGGCTTTCCTTTTTTCACAAGTTTGCTGCTCAGTAGAAATGCAGTCAGGAGAGGAGAGACTGTAACTTGTCTTTTAAATCCGGAAGATAATTCTGCAGCAGGTAACCTTGATACAAAAGTAAATCATGAAGGAATGTTTTGCATGTGTTTTTATTTTATTTTGGTGATTTTCATGAAGCATCAGCTTTTAGAATCATATCAACTGAGAATGTCATCTTACTCTGCTTTGTGTGGAAGTTTCTAGCAGTATTGATTGCAGAAATATAATGTAAAATCTGACTTCAGCATACTCCCAAGTTTAATAGCTTAGAGCCCCTTTGCCATGCAGAAGAAAATGCCCGCTTGCCACCAAGCAGGAAGTTTCCAACTGTATGGAGCTTTGAGGGAAACCGTAGATGGTGGAGAAGTGCTTCAGAGAGGCGTTGCTAATGAGGAGACCCTGGAGCAAAGGTGATTATAACAAAGCAGCAATTCTCTATTCCACCCGCAGGTACAGAGTGGTAGGCTAGCACCAGGTGCTGGAAGGAACACTTACCTTTCCCTGATGGGACTGGAGCCTCTGGCACAGTTTTGTATTTTCTTCTCTGTTTCCTCTCAACCCACAGCAAAGGTTTTCTGAGAGGTAATTATAATAGGATTAGTGTGTGGTGGGAGTAAATGTGGTTATTTGTAGTGTGACTTGGGAAGATGGAGTTAGGAGAGTAAAGGAATATTCTGTTGGATTGTCTGAATTCTCAAAATCCTGGGTAAGGGCTGATTGAGTTGGTTATTTTTACTTAAGGGCAGTTCCCTTATCGTAAGTTTTAAAGTGCAGTAATGCAGAGGAAGACCTGAGGGTGATGGAGAGCAAATTGGACAGGAGTTCACACAATGTGATGAAGCTGCAAAAAAATGAGTACTGTACCAGATATTTAAATAGGGTATGACTTTTAAGGACAGGAAAATAATTCTGCTTCATGCAGCTTTGTTTACACTTGGGAATACTGTGTGCAGGTTTTAAAAGATTTTGCAAAATCTCTGGAATCCTAGACAGCTGACAGTAATCCTAAGGTTTTGGGGAATCATTCCTGTGGAAATAACAAAGGAATTTCGGTCTAGAGAGAAAAAAGCTGAGACTACAATCTGTTCCTCGGCCTGGAATAACCTACGATATTTCAGTCATGTGAGACAATTACTGATACAAAACACACGGAATGTTCTGAAATCAAAATAGCTGTCCTGCTATTTAATTCTCAATGAGCTCTTGGTGATTTGCCCTGTTTCAAGAGAGGCCTTATGTACCTCTTCAGGCCAGTGAGGTATTTCCTGCGTCACCAGAAAATTGTCAGATACATCAAACCCAGGATGATGCTAGGCACCGGATTCCTTCATATCAGTTTGACTGCCAGCATGCCTTGAAAATACAAGTTACTCTTTTCCAGAATTTCACAGCATGTGAATTACTACTTCTGAACAAACATAAATGAATAATACATACTTCTTTCCATGCACAGAGATAGCAGCATATCAATCATAAAATGTGCTTTATCTAAAAACATGCGCCCAAGTAAGTATGGTCTAGTGTGAAGTGTCCCTGCCTAAGGCAGGGAGGCTGGAACTAGATGATCTTAAGGTCCTTTCCAGCCCTAACTATTCAACAATTCTATGATTCTATGATAAGTAGATGGGTAGGTTACTATGGATCAATACATTTGTAGGTCAAGGTATCTGGCCGTTTGCTTGGTACGGTAAGATGTAAATATACTTGATTAAAATGAGGCAAACAGCTGATGAAGTAATTAGGACCTGCATCTACTAACTCCAAACACTGGTTGCAGTGTTTCCAGTATGTAGCACATTAAAATGCTGGACTCTGTAACAGTGAGCCCCGCCCCCCCCCCCCCCCCCCCCCAAAAAAAAAAGCGTAATTATTTTCTGTAAGCATATCTATGAATTTTCTAATCTCTGTGTTTGTCCAATTGTTTTACAAATAGTTTGGAAAAAGCAGACCCTTAGCTAGTCTGATCTTTGTCCCTGGATGTTACATCTTTAACTCATCTTGTATAGATAGAAATATCATGGATGTCAAATACCAATGGGATGTCAAGCACATTTTGATCCTGCTTTAATGTCCAAGTAGAGGCTGTGTGGCTAATGCCAGTAAAAGTATACAGCCTTTAAACTGCATGACATTATAAGCCAGTTTCGCTCCACAGCACGAGGAGGCTAAATATCTGAAAGAGTTGATAACTGGAAGTAAAACTCTTTGCTTCTAGGTGTAAGTAGTTAGTAAATAATTATCTCTTATTAAATATCCAATGAGAGAATTAAGACACTGTTTTTATGGGCCTTCTCTACGTGAGAAAAGCAGCACGTTTAAACAAAGTTGAAACGAGGCTGAAAAGCTGAACAACGTTTCAATTACTAACTGCTTTGGAGAAGGATTTTTTTTCCCTAAAAGACAAATACTTATGAACATAATCAATCGTTAGCTTTCTTTTATGTTATTTGTAAATTAGGTCAGATGCATTCAAGCTGTACTGCTGTCTGTTTTCCAGCATTCTATATTGGACCTAAGCTACAGCAAAGCCAGGGATAACATTGTGAAAGATCTGTTTCTAGTGATGTGAGTGGGAGCTTGC